ATTTTGTAGTCACCCTGAAGAGAAATATTCAATTTGGGGCTTCACATATTTCTGATATATTTCTTTGCCTTTTTATTATTATGAAACAGCTGTCTTCAACACTAGCAATGAATCTTTTCTTAAAGTCTCAGTGCTTGTGTACTTATATTTTAATATTTTAATGGAGACCTCCTGTACAGTAGCTTCACTTCTTTAATTGGGGTATGTTAATTTTATATTATTTATCCAAAACCCATTCTGAGATCCTGATCCAAAGGGCCTTAGAGAGCTGCCAGTAAATTATTTTAATTGCATCTTAAAGTTAACAAGTGCTGTTATGAAATAATCAATCTAATGCTAAATAAAGATTTTAGAATGCTCAAAAGAGTCTCCTTTGACTTATGTGAATATAGCTACACTAAATTCATTTTGGCCAGTGTTTGCATTAAAACCTCCTCCCATTTTTTAATTGGTTCCTTTTAGTTATACATGAGATTAGAATCCATTTTGACATAATTATAAAAGCATGGACTATATCTTGTAATTCAGTCCCACTAATTCCCCCTCCCTTACCCTCTCCCACCCCTGCTCCCTTTCCTATATTCTATTGATCTTTCTGCAACTTATCCATAGTTTTTTAAAATTAATTTCTTCTGGATGTACATGATGTTGAGATTTGCTGTGCCTTGTCCCATTTTTTTAACTTTCAATCTTTTTTTCTATCTATCTCACACATACAAATTTATTTAATAGCATATATTTGAGTTTTCTTAAGTCTAAGTCTGACAATTATGATATTTAATTGAATTACTTAATCCAAGTATAATTAATATAATGTATAATATCATTTAATCTATACTTAAAATCTAATTATTTTTCCACTACCCCTAAGGTTTTATTCTTTGGATTATTGAAATACTCGTTATCTTTTAAAAATTTCCTTCAAGTCTTTTCTTGGTTAATTTTTTTTACAGGATACATTTCTTATCTACAAGAACCTACCACAAATTGTTTCTACATTCATGAGATAATGCTTGGAACCTTAGAAATCTCTAATTCTATACCTGTAAATTGGTGTTTTTGCTATTATGAATTTAAAAGTCATATATTTTAAATGCTTTAAGAAACTACTATGATTGCCTACTATAATCAACATTAGGTCAATACTCACTTATATTTACCCTTCCTTTCTCTTTTTTTTCTTCCTTTATTCTGTGATCCATTTAGGACTCTCTTCCTTTTGCAGATTAAATTTTATTTGTACTATCTAGTATTTCTTTTAGTGCAGATGTGACTGATTAATTCTCTCAGTTTTTGTTTATTTGAAACCAAAACATATTAGAATATCCTTTTGATGGTTATGTTTACTGGTAATAGAATTCTAGTCTGGTAATAATTTTCTTCCAGGTCTTCAAGACATTAATCCATTGCCTTTCTGTTTCATTGATTTATGTTAAAAAGGTCTCCATTTTACTTATGCATCTTTAAAAGCAATAGATTATTTTTATATGGTTACTTTAAATATTTTTTAGTTTGTCTTGAGCAAATTTCCTACAATATGCCTAGTTGTGCTTTGTTTTTTATTAATCCTAATAAATAAATAAATAAATTTGAAGGGTGACCACTTTTCTCAATCTTGTCATTATCTGTTTAAATATTGTTTATTACCCACTTTTGTGCTCTCTTATCCTAGGATTCCAATAAGTATGTTTGAGTTTTTCCTTATATCCCAAATTCAAGTAATGTCCTTTCTGTATTTTTCATTAATTTTGTTTGAATTCATATGTTTCATATTGACCTATCTTGCATGCACTGATACTGTATTACTCAATGTCAATGACATTAAACTATATAGTTTTATAGCAGGCATTATATCTTTCAATTGTAGAATTAATTTCCATTTTACATTTTCAATTTTTGGGTGAAATTCTCTTTATATATATTTTCTCCATTGTTCCTTATTTTTAGTACATTAGCCATACTTGTTTTAATTGTTTATCAACTAATTATAATATCTATATTATCCCTGCATTGGAGGGGTTATGTTTTTGCTCTATTTAATTCAGTTGTGTGTTTATGTGTGTCCATGTATACATAAACAGGCACATGCATCTACTAATTTTATACTGAACTTTGGATATTTATGTGAAGAAAACTGTTCAGAATCAAGATGATATTATCTTCCTCCAGGAAGAGGCCACTTTTCCTTCTGGGAGATTGACAGAATCATTCCAAACAAACTGTCTTAATCAAAACAGGCATGGGTTCAATCAAGATTCTTTGAAGTGGCCTGGAATTGTAGCTCAGTAGAGTGCTTATCTTTCATGCATGAGACACTGGGTTCAATCCTCAGCACCACAAAAAAATAAATAAATAAAAATCAAGTATTATCTCCATCTACAGCTAAATTAAAAAAAAAGATTCTTTGAAGTCTTGATAAACATCTAGCCCTTCAGAATTTTCAGTGGAGAATTTAGTATATCCTCTACAGTCTCTTTCTATGGAAATCCCAAACTCTAACCTTCCTATAGCAAGAAAAACTTTACTCTGATTTTGAAGAATTTTCCACTTAATATTTTAGTGTCCCTTAAGCTGCTCTGGGCTTGACAAGTTCCCTGAGAGGAAGCTGATCCTGAGCTTGAATACTCCAGTCTTCCAAAGGCTACTGAAGTTACTGTGTTCCCAACAAAAAGGCTGTTGTTAGTTTTCAGATTTACCCAATTTCTTGGTAGGGAAACTGATTGTAGGATTTAGTCCTCCTCCCCAGGGATATTCCTTCTCAAAAAATCATAGCCCATTCAGGTCTTATTGTATCATATTGTATCATCTGTTGCTATAATAAATGATTTTTTAATCATGGTCAGTTTGATGGTTGTTTTATGCTTCCAAAGAGTACATCTAATCTGGAAGCAGAACCAGTAAATACATTCATGCTTTAACCTCACACTTTAAAAATATTTTTTGTAACTTTTTATCATAAAAGAAGAGGGGATCTTAAATTTGCATGGGTCACACTGACTTCAGTTGAATTTCTGCCCTCCAAATAGCACATGTTAAACTCACTAAAGACAACAGCCTAAAAACAACAGAGAAGAAATTATAAAAGATGCATTTGTAAGAAGCAATGGAGAAAAAAAGCATATTGAAACGGGTGTCATTGTCAAGATATTAGCCTCCATTCTCTATCTTAGTTTTGTAACAGTAAAATTAGTATATTTTCATATGCCATGCATGTTGTGGATATTATTTGAATCATAGTCACCACTAAATCCTGGTGACTGAATTTCATAATGTTGATCTTTTCTACATTCTGGTGTTGTCCTCTATCAAGTAAGGAATGGTTCAAACTTTATAAATACACACAGGAATGAAGTGCATTCTGGATGATCATTTGTCCAGTCTCCTTTGTGTGATCAGACAGATTGGACTTTTGAAATATAAACTTGAACTTTCATGATCTTAAAATATATTGGTGAAAACTTCAACCAGAAATATTACTTGTCATATATAAAAGTTATTCATTTAAATTGGTGATAATAAATAAGGAAAAAAATATTAAAGTTAACTACCATATTTATGTCTTATATATGTTTGTGTTTAATTCTGTTCTCATTTTAACTCTTCCTCATTTCAACTTTTCACCTGAATAATGGCTAAAAACTATATTTCAAGAATGACTTAAATGCAGTAATTTTCCTTTCTTATTATATCCTCAGTGAAATTATTAATTCAGGGAAAAGTACAAATCCTTAATCTCCAATAAAATGATACTTCTGATTTCAAAATATTAGATTATAAAATAAGCTTTTTAACTGCTTATTTTCTGCCAGAAGCACAATGAGGTTGTCTTATATTCATATAAGTTCAACCAGTTAGGAATCACATAACTCACTAGGCTTATTGAATAAAACTTAGAGCTATTATAATTCAGATAAATTCATTACTGTTCAAGCTACTCAAGGACAAAAATAATACTTAGTTCATACAAATGTAAATTTGGTATCATTGAAAAAATTAATTTGTCACATTAAAGAACAAAACTGAAGATAATTAAACATCAAAAAGAAGTCATTAGGTTGTGATAAAGACTGTTCACATCTACAAAGTGCAAAATCTATGATCAGCCAAAAAGAACTAAACAGGACAGCCAAAATGCAGAATTTTCCTGATTTTTGAAAAGGGGAGAGAAGCTGCAGGAAAACCAAAGGAAACACACAGAGTAAATTCCACATGGTCATCTATTTATAAAGCAAAAGGACAAGGAGATGTATGAGGCCCTCAAGAATCTTGAATTCTTTGGAGGAATTTAGGGCATAATTCAGACTCTGAGATTATTCTTTGAATATGATTATGTGAAGCAGTGATTTAACAGTTTTATGTAGTAAAGGGGGATGGCAAATTATATGAAAGTCTCCTTTTAGTTTATCTTAAATAACAATCATTTAAAAATTTTAAATCTTAGTATTTAAAATTTCAATGTTTTAGGTAAGTAGCAACCAAATAAAATATCAATGTCTTGCATATGTGGTGCTCACAACAGGAAAAGGCCACACTTTGTGTTTTAATATTTTAATGAAATATAATGTTGACATGCAATTTGAGAAAAACAAGTAGGCTAGGTTTTTTGCTCATGGTACTAAGTGGGCTTAACCTGGTAGTATAGCAAACCATTCATTTTTTCAAGGCTAATACTGTAGTATTGAAAGATAATCTTATATGTAAAGATGGGTACCACAAATACATGGAAATTCAAGATTTCATACAAGCCTCTAAATGGGTCATAAAATTCATTAAGAATTTCATTAAAATAAAATGTTTTGTGTACCTGATTAACTTACAGTAATGAAAAATGAACCATTAAGATCAAATATGGAGAAAATATATACCTCCTATGCCTAAAAATGCTAAGAATAATGCCAATAAAAGGAAAAAATTTAGAACTATCAAGAATATACATAGGTTTGGAATAGTGGTTAGATTACTTTACTAGCACTAGAATTACTAAAGACAAAGAAATTGCAATAGTAGTTGCAAAATTAGTGAGAATGAAATACAACAATTAGCTGAATACAAAACTATTTCTGCAGTTGGAATTTTCCTTAACTTCTCTCCCAGCGTGCTCAACCAAGAGGTTTTGGGAATATTGGCTTCAGGAATTTGAACTCACCAGACCCAGAGTCTCCAGCCAGACACACCTCATACTGGTAGCTCTGAGACAGTGTCCCTGTGCCACTGACATCCACCAGGTGTCCAGGAAGGTGGCCCTCAGGCACAGAAAAGACACCCAGCGGCGCCGCCCTGCGCCTCCTGCACAGCCTCACAACCACGAACACCAGCACAGAGAAGAGGAAGAGCGAAGACACAGAGGCCAAGGCGATGACCAAGTAGACAGTGAGCAAATCCCCCTGCCCGCGCTCGGGAGCCACTTCCGGGAGCGGCAGGTAGGGCTGGGAGAAGCCATCCACCAGCAGCACGTGCAGCGTGACGCTGGCAGACAGCGGAGGCTCGCCATTGTCCTTGACCAG